ATACCAGTGTACATACCTGATATATACCAGTGTACATACCTGATATATACCAGTGTACACACCTGACATGTACCAGTGTACATACCTGATATATACCAGTGTACATACCTGATATATACCAGTGTACACACCTGACATGTACCAGTGTACATACCTGATATATACCAGTGTACATACCTGATAAATACCAGTGTACGTACCTGATATATACCTGTACCTCTGTACAGAAAAAAATGTTCAGACTTTTTTGTTCTTGTCTGTTTGGTTTTCAGAATGAGAGGGAACAGATTATGACCACCAACGTGTGGCTGTTTCAGGTACTGTAAAGTCTTTCATCCCTGCTCTACAAGTTCAGTGTTTTCTTTATAATGATGCTGATGACCCCATCCCCCACCACCCTCTGTAGGAATGGAATGACTACAGGCTGAGATGGGATCCAGACAAATATGAAGGCGTGAAGAAACTGAGAATCCCCTCCAAACTGATCTGGCTTCCTGACATCGTGCTTTACAACAAGTAAGCTGGAGCTGGATTCTACCTAGATGATAACGATGGAGATATTTAATAAAAAAATAAATAAATACAAACTCCTGCTAAAACAAAATGTATTTTACTATTACCATCTTTGCAAATGGCTTTAAAAGGTTTCCATGGATTCAATGAGCAGTATGACTGTTTTGATGAGGTAAAGTTTGAACTTGATGGAGTATTATCACTAACATTTCTTCCACTCAGGAGAAAGGTCAGCACTCTGCCTACAGTCAGAAACTCTTTGTTGAACCAGCTGTTTAATAATGTTGAATGTAAAGGTCAGAGACATGGCGAAAAAATATTTGCTTTTCTCTCTTCTAAGTCTTCAGACACACTGTTTACTTGTTCTTCTGGATGAGTTTTGGACCGTAGCAACTCCAGCCTTCCTTTATTCTTTGCACATCTACTAATGCATCCTTTCTCTTTTTTTGTCTCATTCTGCATAAATTTAGACTTTGTATGTCTCTTTGTGCTCCTTTTTTTTACACCACCTTGTTCCCTGTTGTATTTTTTTGCCTGTTTTTGTCTTCTTATGCTTTTCCATATTTCTGCTATTTATGTCCACTCTTATGCTTTTTGTGTCTTTTCTTCTTATGTTTCAACAGACATGAACGTTCAGCTGTTCTTCACTCATATTCACCTTTTTTAGCAAATTTGTTCAGTTATTCAGCACCAAACATTCACACTGTTTTTTCACAGAAGAAGCTAATTATTATGGAGGATCGAAACTGCTATACTCAGAAATAAAAGCAGAAATAGATAAATGGACCAATAAATAATTAAATACTCTGAAAATGCACCAACTGAATTAAAAAGGAGAACTTTACATCATGTTTTATCATTTAATTCACTTTGATATTTTATTTCCAGATTAATTCTAATAAATTATACATTTTGTCACATAATTTATAT